CGAGGGCCACCCCGCATCCTCCAAAATCGGCCCCTAATCCCTGCACCCCCACCAGTTGGCAGGTGAAAATCGCCAAGGCCCAGCTGACAGCAAACTTTACCTCGGAATAAGCTCAAGCACAGCTTCTCTTGGGCGCCATCTCTGTTTGCTTGGCGTGAGTGGTTTTGTCTGAAGCTGTCTCACGGCACCAGGCATTTGTCTACTTCCATTACACATCAACCACCCAAACTGTATGGAATTGAGCGCCTTCCAAAAACTTTCCAGCGTTTGCGGCTTTCTGGGACTGTGGGACCACATCTTCAGCCCACTTTTCGGGCTGATCCCTTAACGAACATTCCACCCGTGCTGCTTCAAAGCAAGCAGCTCGGCTGCCTGTAAACCGGAGCAAAGGAATTGCTTCAAATGGACGCATCGTATCGATGGCGGTCGTTGTCAGCAATGGCAGCCTCCGGCAGCACCTGCCAAGATGGAAGATTCCGATTCGCCACTACGCTTGATCACTACGCTTGATCCTCAATGATCTGATCGCCTTCATTCCCCGCTGAATGATGAGTGGATGAACCCCTGAACTAGTACTAATGATGTCGTCATTCGATGATCATGAGTGTAGACCAGGAGAAGAAACGGCTCCAGCGACCTGCTTTATAACGACACTCAGACGGTGTGCTTTATCTCATTGCCTGCTCTCCGGTCGATTGCTCCGTTGCAAAGTTTGTCGTAATCTGCCATCAGGAACCGATTCACCATGCCACTTTCACACCACGTATGGCTCCCGCTGCAAACATTGTCCTTTGATGCTGACCCACCAACCCAGGTCGACCCGGACGAGATCGTCCATCACTTCCAGGGGCTGGATATCGCAAACGAGCACGGTGAAAATGACCACCATTTGACCCCCTATTCCACCCCCTATGCAAGCCGCAAGGTCATTCCCAAATTCGAGCTCCCCCGAGATGGAGCTCCTGGTGATACTGTGTACGCCATGATTAGGGATGAACTCGATTTAGATGGCCGACCTAACCTCAATCTGGCCTCCTTCGTCGACACTTATCTCGAGGAGAACGCCCAGAAGCTCATGGTGGAGAATATGGCCAAGAATTTCGCCGATTATGATGAGTATCCAGCCATGGTCTCCATGAGCGAGCGCTGTGTGAGCATCCTCGCGAATCTCTGGGGCGTCAGGAAAGATGAAAAAGCCACCGGGACCGCCACGACAGGCTCCTCAGAGGCCATCCACCTCGGCGGGCTTGCCATGAAGCGTCGGTGGCAGGAGTCTCGCCGTGCAGCTGGGAAGGATACACTCAAGCCGAATATAATCATGGGGTCGAACGCTCAAGTGGCTCTGCTTAAGTTTGCTCGCTACTTCGAGTGTGAAGCTCGCGTTCTGCCAGTATCGGCCAAGAGCAAGTTTAGACTGGACCCTGAGTTGGTGAAGGAGAACATCGACGAGAATACCATCGGTGTCTTTGTGATTCTCGGCAGCACATACACGGGCCATTATGAACCCGTGGAAGATATAGCTAAAATCCTCGATGAGTATCAGGAGAGGACAGGCGTTGACATCCCCATCCACGTTGATGCTGCAAGCGGAGGGTTCGTGGCACCGTTTACCTATGCCGGCGTGGGCGGTACAAAATGGTATTTCACCCCTCATCAAGAAACGATCACCTCTAGCTAATCCTATACCTTTAGGAACTTTGAGCTCCCCCGCGTCGTATCCATCAACGCATCAGGTAAGCCACCCTTTCCCCTAACGCCAAGCCAAACCCGCCGACTCACTACCATCCAGGTCACAAGTCAGTCTTTCTTTGCCGCCATCTAACTCCTATTGTGGTTATTCGTGGCTTTGTTCGATGTCTTCGGCGTGACGTGAGCGCGCTTGAGACATTGCGTTGCCAAAAAAGAAAAACGCCTTCAAGGGACATAACTAACGGATATTACCATAGATATGGCCTTGTGACCCCCGGCGTCGGTTGGATAATATGGCGAGACGTCTCCTACCTCCCCAAACACCTCATCTTTGAGCTCCACTATCTCGGCGGGACAGAACAGTCCTTCACCCTCAACTTCTCACGCCCCGGCGCCCAAATCATCGTCCAGTATTACAACCTGATTCATCTCGGCTTTTCCGGCTACCGAGAGGTCATGGAGAACTGTGTCGCCAATGCAAGACTCCTCTCAAAGAGTCTCGAGGCCACCGGGTGGTATGTATGTGTGAGCGACATCCACCGGCCAGCGCCAGTTAGTGCCGCAAAGCAAGTTGCGGAGGAAGCCAAAGATACATTGGTTTCTGCGGTCAGTTCTGTTGGCGGCCAAAAGGACGACCAGAGTGGAAAGACCGGACAGCAGCTGGCTTCTCAGCAAGGCTCGGAGACGTCAGCAGCGTACATCGCCGGGTTGCCAGTCGTGGCGTTCAGGCTTACCGACGAGTTCAAGAGCAAGTACCCACATATCAAGCAGGAGACGGTGTCGTTGTTGCTGCGGGCACGACAGTGGATCATCCCAAACTATGCTCTCCCCCCAAACGAGGACGAAACGGAGATCCTGCGTGTGGTGATCAGGGAGAGTATGAGTGTCGACTTGCTCGACCGCTTGATGACGGACATTGTCCAGGTCACAGAGACCTTGATGGAAGAGGACGAGGTGGACCTATCCGTCTTGCAGAAGCAACACCGCCACGGGCACGTCCGGAAGCGCGGAAAGGGGAAAGGAGAGCAGACGAGCAAGCAGCTGGAGAAAGGCGTCAAGAGGATGGCCGACGGGATTCACAGAACTGTCTGCTAATACCCGATAGATTTATGTATCTACATGAGTAACGAATCATCAAGCTCCCTCTTCCTCGCAGCTGCGAACTGCAAGTCTTCGTTCCCCACCACAGACGTCAACACCGTCGGTGCATCGATGCCCTGTACGACACCATTGCCCCCTTGCATGATGTTCGCAAAGTTATCCGCAATCAGCTGAATCCCGCTCACAAATCCGAGCTCATCGAATTCGCAATGCCCCCCATTCGGCGTATTATCCACAGTCTGCAACTGCCCAACCTGTGCTGCGTTCAACCCAACCCCCGTCGCGATATTCTCAAACGCGACAATGGCCTCGGGGATCGACTGCTGCAGACTAACCAGCTCGTCCTTGGTGCTCTGGAAGTGAATCCTCGAGTTCGCAATGAACCCCTCAGGATCTACGACATCCACCTGCGGCGCCAATGCTCCGCACATCAGCAGCACACCCGTTCCAGGGAATTCCGCCAGATGAGCCGGCATGAAGAAGCCGCTGAGCGTCAGCGCACCGCCTGATACACCCGTAAAGAAGACATTGCTCGGATCGAAGGCCACAACTTGGGGCAGGACCTCGCGGATGAGGTCGCGAACGGCAAGGGAGTCAGCCACGCCGTCGTCGCGAGAGAGGCCGGACGGGGGTCCGGCGCGCTGACCCCAGAGGAGGTTCTCAGAAGGGGCGAGAATAACGACGCCGAGGAGACCGCCTTGGACGGCTTGGTTGGGGAAGTCGAAGAAGGACTGGCCGCCGTCGCCGTGCAGGAGGACGTTGAGGCCGGCGTTGCTGGTGGTTCCCGGCCGGGCGCGGGCGCCGGTGACATTGGTGAGGGTGGTGAAGAGGTTAGCGGGGGCCGAGACCTTGAAGCGGAGGTCGACGCCGTTGACGGTGGCTGTGGTGTCGAGGATGGTGGAGCCGTCGGTGGCTTGGGATACGCCCTGGGGAAGGGCGGCCGCTTGTTGTTGGGGGCTTTGGCGGGTTCCTTGTTGGCCGTTGCGGTTGCGGTTCCGCTGCTGCGGCGCGCTGTGGACGGCGGCGGCCGAGAGGAGGACGAGAAGGGAGCGAATGATCAACATTCTAACTTCCGGCGGAAAAAAGAAAACAAGCAGAAAATAAAAATAAACAGGACAAAAAAGGACGATCGACGGCCTAGGAATCCAGATCCCCAGGCTTGGTAGACAGAAACAGGAAAGGAAAAGGGAGGGCAGAAGGCAGACCAGATATCCTACCCGACTCGGCCACTTACCCTTACCCAGGATAATGCCCGATCATGCCATGGGTGTGGTTGTTCTTTTCTCGCCGGCACTCACAACGGTCAGCGAGCTCGCGATTGGAAACTGAGCGAGTGTACGAGGGAGGGTTGGGGCGGAATCGGCCGAGCTTTTGTTTCGGGATCTGGCAAAATCCACTTTTTCGCTGGTCGCTTGTTTGAGGTCTTGCCTCAGATCAAGATCCCACCGCATCCCTGCAAGATCCCTCGGTACCTCCTGCCGCGGCGAACTGAAAATGCTACGATGGAGCTGAATTTCCGGTAAAATATGCCTGCTTGTGGGCAGGGTGTGCTTTTGCCAGTTCTGAATGCTGGGCTTGAGTTGAGTTTGAATTCAAACACAGTGGCATCCGACCCTGACAAACACTCCTCGAAACAGTCATGCTACTTACCGGCCATGGTGTGGGGATTGTAGGGGCAGCGTCACGGTAAACGACCGCGACGCTGGAAAGGTGACCATTGATTCCTCGTGTCAGGGCGCCGGTGAAGAAGGACGAGGTGAAGTTGTTGAGCTCTTGCGACGCAGTGTGTTTGCGACGGCGGCGCGGTTGGCCATGGGGAAGGCCATCGCCCTCTTGGCCGACAATGAAGAACGGGCATTTCCTTCATGTTTGTGACGCTTGGAGGACGGTTCCCTAATCCTTTTCAAATCCTAGCCGCCCTGGTACTGCGGCGTCAATAGTAAATACCTTTGCCCCTGAATGCCATTGCTTTGATCCCTTCTTCGCAACATCAACCACTCAGAATCGGGCAGCATCTCAGCCTCAGCACTACATCAATCATGCTTCAATGTCAAGCTAGGGCTAGTGCGCCTGCGGCTGAAATGCAAGGTACGTAGCATCGATCTTGGTCTAGACCTCAACACCATCACTACCGATAGTACCCCAACTGCCAGAATGCGTCGACGGCGTTGGGAACCCAACTCGGAAAATCTGGGGATAAAATAATGGGATGCCCGGTTCGGAATCGAACCAAAGTTTTTGGGAAACCTAGCTACTTGTGAGATCTCAGGTTGTCGTCATGTCGAATCGGGCGCCGGGGTTGTCGCCGAGCGGTCGGGGGGATTTTTGGGGCGCCGGGGTTGTCATCGAGAAAGAAAGCTTTTTACCGGTATCTTAGTCGAACGCGGCGGGGGCGGCTGAGATCAACACTTTTGCTTGGAGTACAGCATGCTACCAACTGCACCACCGGGGCTTTGCTGCTGCGCGTAAGGAAGAAACGATGGGTTTGCCTATGGGCTGGTGACTACCTGCAGTGGACCACTGAGGAGTGCTTGGGCCATGGGCATGACGAGCAGTTTTCAAACGAAGGAAGGAACGCAATGACTGGCGCTGACTATCCCAGAGCTGGCTCGCTTCTCGGCCTTCTTCTCCTTCATCTCCAGCCGAACAATCCAAATTCTATATCAACCTCGCATTTGAAAGCACAACTTAGGTGCCCATCTTTTCCGGTATCGCTACGAATCATAACTATTTACCACCCATGGATGCTACTCGGGCAGCCCTACCTGCGGGCGATGAGAGGCCTTTTACTGCTCAAGAGTTGCGGAATCTGACAAAGAGGATACTTCCAGTCGCGATGTCATCCCGACGCCGCAACGAACTCGACAGATTTCTATATTCCTTGCCTGAATGGAGGCCTACCGTCCCTGTCCTGCTTGACTCGGCGGTCGACTCGAGAATCGACCTGATTGGTGAGCTACAAAAAGAACGTCACCAACGATTCAGCGAAATTCAACTGGCGTGCCTCTTTCTGATGGACAGGGAAGAGCTGAGAGGATCTTTGGGTGCGCCAAATCCAAGGACCATCTTGCATCGCGCTCTCGACAAGATCGATCGCCTAGTCCAGATGCGTAAGTTTCCAGGCAGCAGCAGTGGAGGCAACGGAAAAACAGCATTATCACTGACACTTTCGATACTTACTCCACAGTTATTGAACGGCAACGACGCTCCCTTGTGATACCCTTCACGGAGGAGGAGAACCATCGCCTGGATCTTGACGAACAGGGAGGCAGAGATCGACAAAACTGGCAGTGCATGGTGACTAGGAAGCCAAATGCAGTCATGTCTCGCATCACCACAACCATGTCGACGAGTGGTTGGGAGGTTAACTCAGTTGTAGACGACTCCATCTATGCAGCATCGGTCTTCTTCTTCCCACTCACCGCGTCCTCCACCCCTCCAGAGATGCCCCGGGACATGGCATCGCTGCGTTCGTTGCTGTGTGGACACGAACCCGTGTACTGGAACACGGTCATGCTGCACCCGCAAATCGAATTGTGGCGGCGATCCTGGTATTTTGCGTTCGAGTGCCTGGGGATCACGGACTCTGACCCTAGTGTCAGCTCGCTGTCAAGGCTGAAGCTGCAGGTCCGTTGGATGCCGAAGAGGTCCCTGCCTATGCGGCCGCTCCTGGACTTGAAAAAACACCACCAGCCCGTGTTCCAGGGCTCCTACGGCCAAGGGATTGGATACAACTGGGAAGGTTCTGGCGGCCAGGACGATTCGATTGACAACAACTCACTCATTGCATCACGGAGGAACAATGGACACTCGGTTGAAGATGGCGACATCGTCTACATCGTGGTTGATCGATGCGATGCCTAGAAAGCAAAAATGGCGTTTGATATCCAGTGGGCTGTCGCCAGGATTGCTGCGCTGACAGGGCAGAACACGACATTGGCACAGCCGTAAAGATAGGTTCGAAGGATGCTTTCTTCAGCAAGCCACAAGGTTGTCCTTAGTTCCCAGCGTTAGAATTCAGAATAGATACCGCATTATTCCAAGAAGTGCAGGAGATCAGACAAGTGAGATGAATCTTGATATGCTAGTGTGTGTTGTAGGGGATGGCCTTTCTTTTATTGGTCAAAAGGCAAGTTAGCGGCGAACTGGGAGCGGAGGAGAGGATACCCAGGGGGGAGCTTGGAAGGGGTATTGAAGGGGCTGGGGTTAAAAGGGGTGGACAATCTGTAGATTGGTGGGAGGACAGGTTGGGAGGATGTTGGGGGGGTAGAATTGATAAATCTTAGATATGAAGATGTTAAGTGTACGCATGTGACTGGGGACGAATACGTTTGATTTCTTTGCAAGTGGGTCACGGTGGGACTTTATTTGATGAATCTTGGCCGTCATGTGACCAAAATGAACACAGGATAATAAAAAAACACGCACGCCAGGTAAAAAGGGAGAGTTCAGTTCGGAATGCGGGTAGGTTGGAGAAAGGGGTACTCCTGAAAAGACTGCTGGCGTGTTTAAAAGCTTCCATGTTACACGTAGCTTCAATTCGCAGCGTTGACATAACGTTGCGGAGCAAGCCACAGGATTGGAATAACAGCTTATTCCTCCTCCCAACCTCATAGTGTAGTGTGTAGTCTGGACTGCAGAACGAACCATCGCACAGGCCACGGCATCTGATGGAAGGAGAATGCGTTGAAAATTCTGGCTCTATATACTCTAATGGTACAGATGATTATGGGAGCTGAACTCGACCTTGAGGATTGTTGAAATCCACGCAAAACTATCAAATCTGGCATCACATCTCAAATATGGCACAATACAAAGATTGCCAATACTTCATCCTCCGAATGACAAGAGGGATGATAAAGAGAAAAAATGAAGGCTCGCGATCGCTCACTGAACACTGAATAACCCGAAAGTGAACCTGTCGAATCAAGATCCGCCATCCAGCTATGTCATATCCCCTCGCATACCACTGAACCCGACCTTTGAATTGCAACCACGGTAACAATACCATGCATTCCGATCTCCGAAATCATGCTACTCCTCTTCTCTCCGAGCTCTGGATTGCTCTCTCTGGCCGGCCTGCTGGTTTTCCAGCTTCACGCGCGTCGAGTCTGACGGACCCAACGACCCCCCTTCCGTTTCAGAAGTAGGAATAGAGCCAGGGGCCTCTTGCTCGTAATACTTCATCCAATCCCAGATCTCCGGAGCTAGTGTGAAGGCCGTCCGCAGATGGGATTGCTGTAAGGTTCGCTGGGGGGCCGGCTGAGGGGGCGGCATTCCCGAACAGGGTTGAGACGGATTGGTGGCCTGCATCGAGTACGCCGTCGGGTATCCACCCATCGGCGGATACGGGAAGTAAAGCGGTTGGGGATGAAAGACGGCGGATGGTTGGGGGGGATAGCCAGGCTCATATTTGGGTTGAATGTCAGCAGTTGCAGCTCTTGCTTCGCTGAGCTCTTTCTCGAGCTTTTCAACTTGCGCCTTGGCTTTTTCGAGCTCCGTTTGTTTGCTGGCCGAGTCCTTTTCGGCGCACTGACTCCGGTTCGAACCCTCTGTACGGCTTCCGCTGCCACCCCCTTCGAGGTAGCACAACCGGGAAACAACGTCCTCCAACGTTTGGTTGATCCGGTTGACTTGCAACCGCATGTTCTTCTCGATGTTGTCGACTTGGGCTTGGATTTTCTTGACCGCGGCGGCCACCTCGTCATCCCCATCGCCCACGATGTGCTCCAATGAGGCCTTCAGCTCGTTCAACTCTTGACGAAGGGACTCGAGAACCGCATTGTTGGAACTCGCCGTACTTTCGGTGAGCCTTCTTTGCACGGTAGGGCCGTATGTGATGTGGTCGTCAAGGTCTTCGAATCGGCCATTTCCTCTCCGGTGCTCTTGACCTACGCTGGATGTTTCCGTGTGACTCTGACTGTGACCGCGAGTGAAACCCCCAGATTCCTCGTGATCGGTCGGCGGCGACGAGTCAAGCGGAGTAGCCTGGACACTCGGCGACACCTTCAAATCCCCTGACCTGGATCGCTTCTCAACCTTGTGTCCGGTCCCCTGACGATAATCAAATCGCAGTAGGCGGTTAACGTTGAAGGATGGCTGGAGTGAGTTACGTGCGTGAGGAGTTGCTCCACGGCCCAAGGTGCAGTACTTGGCGACCCAACGAGGATTCCAGAACTCAGCGCCTTTCCAAAAAGGGTCAGGAACGCACGTGGCAGGGTCCTCGAGAATCCACTCCAAGCCCAGCGTGAGCAGCGCGTGTTGGGCCATTCCCGGGAGCGCATCGGTTCCGGTCTTTGCAAAGACGATGGCCTTGAGGGCGATGATTATGGATGGTCGACACCAGCTCGGCAGGTTTCCTCTTGTCTTGGTCTTGTACCAAACCTTGTCTTCGGGTCGTCTCCATGAGTCCACTTGAGCAGCAGTGGCAGCCGGATACCTCAAAAGACTGTGCTCGTCAGGGCCGTGCTTCGATCTGGCAAGCTCGAGCCAGACCTCGTTGAGATCAAAGTGGCAAGGAAATCCCTTTTTGTAACACCCTTTGCGGTAATTGTCCAAGCATCGCCAGATCCAGTTGGACTTCAATGCCTTGATGGAGTGAGCATGGGTCCGGGAGATGCTGGGAGAGCTTTGGCTCGACATTGTGCTTGTGCCCGTGCTCGACGCCGTCGGTGACAGTCCCGGGACGCTGTCGTAGGGAAGTGACGACATTTGGCAGGACCTGGTTGGTCGACCCGGGCGAAGTAAGTTCAGGGCGGAGGAGATGGCGGGGTTGAAATATCTAGGTGTTATTGGCAGTCGTAAGACAGGGGGGAAAAGAGGCTCAGGTAGCTAATGATTAGGTTGCCAGGAAGTCCGTAAAACGGAGGGGAAGGCACCTGGCCGGCGATGGCGTGAGTGGTGCTCGCTTCCCGATGGAGTCTGAAAACTCATAGGGAGGCGGCGCGTGTGGTGAGGAACGTGAAGACCAAGTGCGGCCACGAGATTTTTTTTTTTTTAGGAAGGTGGAAAGCAACCCAGCCGCTTGGAACTGGCATCTGATGGCAACAATCGGGTCTATATGAAGATTTGGGACAGAAAATGTTGGCATAGGGCAGGTACGAAGGCCCTTGTGGCTTCCTTCATGGCCACAGCACCGCGGGACAAAAAAATGCTGGCTACCTACCTTCCCAGCTCCTCGACCTGACCTAAGTACCTTGTCGCCCACAAAAACCCCAGTGTTTGTCAACAAAGGGGTATAAAATACAAACATAGGTTCAACTATCCACCACCCCTAAGCCACCAACCGAGTGGCATGTCATACTTTGGCTTCGCAATAACGATCTCGGGTGAGAGGCACCAAAAGGCAAGTATAAGGCGGGACGATCTCGCCAGACTGGGGAGGGAATGACCTGCCCTGAACAACTGCCTGCAGTGGCAAGACAGATGCCAGGCACAATGGACATTATTTTT